ACTTTAGGAGAATGGCTTTTGTGATGAACTATTTAAAAAAAAGAATGGTACTATTTTACTATTTTCTTGGTAAAATATATTGGTGAACACCTTCCCTGTGTGTGGTATATAGGAGCCTAATACCAGGTCCTTACAAAGTGTTGACAAATTGGTCCCACTAATAATGGTAGTTCAGTCACTGGTCAGTGCTAAGCACAGTCCTAAGAGAGACACTATTAGCTCACTTAGTGCAATTATACAGGATATGAAGGCATAATATCACATCCCACACCCTTTATTTTTTTCCTGTGGAGAAAATTGATGAAAAGAGGCTAGTTTACCCTGGCTTACAATTTGAATTATGGAGTGAAAATTCCATGGCTTCAGCACAGTGAATGCTGTAATACTTCAACATTTTTCAAAGCCCCTTTTCTATGTGACATTTTAAAAATCTTAATTTCCAGAGCTAACTAGAGAGCTATATACAATAACTATTAAACATTCTTTTTTACAAATATAGAAGTAAACTGAAACAGTTTGCCCAAGGTCATAAAACAAGTTAGCAATTGTGAAAGTAGATACATGCTTGGAATGTTAGTATAGAATCAACCTAAAAGTCTATCCAACTGCAGATTTTGGAAAAGAAGAAGCTGAGCCTCAGACACGAGGCAGTCCAATTGTCCAAGGCCACAACTGAATGATAGCAGAGCTGGGGTAATAAGATCCTTGTGCTGGCTGCAGCGCAGGGGGCTTCCTGCCCCAAGACCTGCTTGTTGGCCTAGCCCTAGAACCCAGCTGCCCCAGCTGTGGATGCGGTACTCATGCCATTGTCCTGAGCTGCTTCCTTGGGATCCAAGAACCTAGCTGGGAGAGAAGCTCCTTATCCATGGAGCTACTAAAAACTGAGCTATGCAATGAGAAGACTACAAGTGCAGGAAAAGGTCTCAGCAGAGGCAAAATGGTCTTACTTCTTGGTGCCTGCTGATGGTTTGTACTGATCAGCACTTTTCCTTTTAGATATCGACAGCCCCAAAAACCTGGTGACTGACCAGGTAACAGAAAATACTGCCACTGTCTCTTGGAAGCCAGTGGAGGCTGACATTGACAGGTATGTGGTGCGCTACACTTCTGCTGATGGAGAGACCAGGGAGGTCCCCGTGAAGAAGGACAAGAACAGGACCATTCTGATGGGCCTGAGGCCAGGTGTGGAGTACGAGGTGGATGTGTGGGCCCAGAAGGGGACCCGAGAGAGCAGGAAGGCCAACACCAAGGCACCCACAGGTAATGGATATTATTCTTTGGGAATGTGACACCTTTTATGCTAAACCTGTAGGAGCTCAAGTATTTCTTCTGTGCTGTTGGTACAAATCAATGGGTTGTACAATCCCAGGATGGTAGACCTTGGCTATACTATTCTCTCTACCCTTCACTACTCTTTAACACATTATCCCAAAATATAAACTTCATACTTTCATCTTATAAAAGTGGTCGTTGATCTCTCTATCCACCGACCCTCCATATTGTATTTGCTTTTTTTGTCCAACCTCAAAATATTTCTTTTTGAAAGAGAACATTTATAAAGAACCCATATATGTAAGGATCTTTAACCTAACTATTTGGGAAAACAGCTTTTTCTCTGTGGAATCTCTGTGGAAAAAGGTGGCATTCGAGTCCTGTGGATTCCTCCCTGAAGATCTTATGGTTACACAGGATATTCAGCAACAGCTCACAAGTTTAATTTCTATTCCTCAGTTGTTGGACACAACATCAGGATGTGTTTACACATTTAAAATCCTCTTTAAATATAAAATTCAGTGCATATTCACTTAGTTTGATAACTATTATCACTATAGATTTCAGAGCATTTTCATCATCCAGAGCAGTTTCAGCCCCATTACTGGTTGTTTCTTACCTGTCCTCCTTCAAGCGCTATTGAACATTGGCTATCTAGCTATAGATTTTTCTGTTTAGGACATTTCATATGGCTGGGTTCATATAGTATGTGGCCTTTTGTGACTCTCTTTCATGAAGCAAAATATTCTTTAGGCTCATCCATATTTTAGCATATATAAGTATTCAGTTTTATTGTGAATTAATGTTTCATTGTAGGGACATATCCGTCTTCATTATCTATTTGGGAGTTACTAGACATCTGAAAGGTCTCCAATTTTTGGCTATTGCTGATATAGATACTATGAGAAGCTGTGTACAAGCTTTGTGCGTACACACACACCTTCATTTCTCTTAAGTATATGCCTACAAATGGAATTACAGGATTATTTAGAAATTCAGCCTTTAATTTTTGAAGCACTAACAGTTTTAAAGCAGTTGTATCATTTTACATTTCCACCAGAAATGAATGAAGGTTACCTTCTTCATTTACTTTGTCATCAGAAGAATTTGTTGAGTTGGTGGAACAGGAATGACTATCACCATTTTTCAGTTAAGAATCCTTAAATATGGCAAAGTGCATGATTTCCCAAAATTATGTAGTTAGCTGATGACTAATGGAGTTTGACCCATGAAGAACTATGACATTTTAAATTCTATTCCATCTGAGGCCCACATACACAGATAGAAAAGCAGGTTCAGTCACAGCTAGCCAAGCTGTCTGAGGTTACAGCCAGTTGAGAGCAGCTGGCTGAGGGGGAGTGGGAGTAAGACCTCTGGTCTGCTGGCCATAGCTCAGTTGGCCTGGGCTTCGAAGTCAGCCTCCAACTGTGGACATGATGCCCAGCCAGGATGGGATCCTGCCCTTCCTCTTGGATGATCTAACCATCTGCTTGGAAGATAAAGTCTGTGTCTATGGAGCAACTGAAAACCAACATAGGAGATGCAAAACCAGGAAATGCAGGAAAGTGTCTCAGTGACAGCAAAATAGCTTCACTCTTGGAGCCTGTTAGTAATGTATATTGATAAGCACTTTTTCTTTTAGACATTGACAGCCCCAAAAACCTGGTAACTGACCAGGTGACAGAGAATACTGCCACTGTCTCCTGGGACCCAGTGGAGGCTGACATTGACAGGTATGTGGTGCGCTACACCTCTGCCGACGGAGAGACCAGGGAATTTCTGGTGGGGAAGGACCAGAGCAGCACCGTCCTGACGGGCCTGAGGCCAGGTGTGGAGTACGAGGTCGATGTGTGGGCCCAGAAGGGGGCCCGGGAGAGCAGGAAGGCCAACTCCAAGGCCCCCACAGGTAATGGGCATTGTTCTGTGGGACTGTAACACCTGTCTTGCTAAGTCTGTGGAAGACTGAGTTTGGTGTTCCTTTTCTGAGATTGACAGAAATCAGTGATTAGTAGACCAGGATAATAAACCTTAGTGTACTACTCACACAATTTTGATACCTTTAACATATACTAAGGACCTTATATCAGCCCCACTCTTTAAACTTCTGTGACTACGGTGATTGGCCTCACCCACCCAGTATTTCTCCAATTTTGTTTCCATTTTGGTCAGTCTCAAAATATCTCCCTTAAAAGGAAGACATATTCATGTTGGGATCTGTGAACTATGTATTTTAGAGATTATGTCTTTTCCTGTCATCTATTTGGAACAAAAAGAGGTTGTTGCTTTCTTCGTGAATAATACTCTTCTGAGTACTATGTGTTTCCTCTGAGGATCGCATGGTTGCCAAGATAAACACTAACAATTCACAGTTCTGAAGGTTTTCATTTTTCTTCCCTCCTTGGTTAGGAACAGCCTTATTAAGATATATATGCATACTGTAAAATCCATCCTTTTAAAGTTTGCAATTTACTGGTTTTAGTATAGTCACAGAAGTTCACAGATCCATTGCCAGTCATGCCCTATCCCTGCTTCTTCCAGCCCTCAGTCTGGAAGCCCTGCTGTCTGTCTCTATAGATTTCCCCATCCAGGACGTTAACCACATAGAGATTTATAGATGCCTCTGTGACTGGCTTCTTTCACAAAGCATAACATTTTCCAGGACATCTATGTTGAAGCTGATATCAATACTTAATTTTATTGTAGCTCAATATTCCATTGTCCGGATATACCTTAGTCTCCTTATCTATTCATCAGTTGTTACACTATTTACTTATTTATTTTCTACTGTGAATGATGATACTGGGTCATTTGTGTGCTTTGCTTTGCTGTATGCAGGATTGAACTCAGCACTTGGTATATGCTACACAAGTGCTATACCACAAAGCTATACTTTTTTTTTTTTTAAAAAGTATTTAGTACAGGGTCTACAGGGTCTCACTGCACAGATCAGACTCAGTGATCCTCCTATTTTCAGCCTCCCAAGCTCTAGGATTACAGGTGCGTGCCACCACACCCAGTGTCAGTTGCTGTCTCAGCACACCCTGGAGGTGGGACTAGCACAATGTGCTGGAGATTGAACCCTGGTCGCTGCATTTGCCTAATAGGTGTTTTAGTCCACTGAGCTATCTGGCCACCCTCACCAAGCTGTACACTAACCCCTACCATGTGCAAGTTTTTGGATGCATATGCATCTTCATTTCTCTAAGATGGATGCCTAAAAATAGAGCTACTGGTTCACTTGTAGTTTATCTTGAGCTTTGGAGGAATTGCCAGAATGTTTCCATTGTGGTTGTACCATTTTACATGCCTACCAGAAAGGAATGAGGATTGTTTTATTTAGTCACTTGGTCTCAGATAGATTTGTTGAGTCAGTAGAACAGGAATCAGTATCCCCATTTTGCAGTAGAGAATCTCCAACTATAGCTAAGTTTATGATTTTACAAATTACTCACCTAGGTGATGATTCCTGGAGTTTGAGTCATCAAATAGTCATGGCATATTTGGTACCTGAACATCTGTCCCGTCTAAGGCCCACAACCCTGATGGTGAAGCTGACATGCAGTCAGAAGCCCAAGTCACTTGAGGCTGCAGCCGGCCAATGGCAGTTAGGATGAGATCTACAATCTGCTGGCTCTAGCCTATGGGACTTCCTGCCTCCAACTCTACCTGTTGCTTATTACACCTCAGCTTCTCCAGCAGTAGATCTGATGCCCAAAAAGATGTGATCCTGGGCTGACTTCTTGAAAATCCAAGAGTCCGGCTGGAGAGACAGGTCCATTTCCACGAAGCTAGAAAAAAACAACTTTGAGATGAGAAAATTGCCTAGGATAATGCCTCAGCTTATGCAAACCAGTCTTACTCCCTGGTGTCTGTGGATGCTTTGTATTGATCAGCACTTTTCCTTTTAGATATTGACAGCCCCAAAAACCTGGTGACTGACCAGGTGACAGAAAACACTGCCACTGTCTCATGGGACCCAGTGGAAGCAGATATTGACAGGTATGTGGTGCGCTACATCTCTGCCGATGGAGAGACCAGGGAGATTCCGGTGGGGAAGGAGCACAGCAGCACCGTCCTGACAGGCCTGAGGCCAGGAGTGGAGTACAAGGTGGAGCTATGGGCCCAGAAGGGGACCCAGGAGAGCAGGAAGGTCAACACCATGGCCCCCACAGGTAATGAACGTTGTTTTTTGGGAATGTGGCACCTGTCACTCTCAGTCTATATTTTGGCATACTACACACACCATCTCTTAGTACTTTGAATTAATTAATTAATTAATTAATTT